CTAGAGCAGTTATATGCTGTATTCAAGGTATGTCCTTGGAATGTAAACTTGTATTTAATGCATGATAAAGAAGACTTCTTTACTACAGGTTAAGGTAATAAAGAGTTGCTGTTGTGTGTAAACACGATATGCCTGCCTAACGTGTTCTTTTGAAAAACGGACTAAAAGTAACTTTGATATATTTTAAACAACTTCCCGCGGCTGTTAATCTTCCTTTCATCTTCATACTTGTGCCTTTTGTTCACTAGGAAGGACATATTTTAACTCGTAACCATGGCAACCCAGACATCAAGGATACTCCGCCTCAGTTTCCTCTCGTACAGAACCAGTGTATTGACTACGAGAGGTTCAAGCCTCTCTTTGAATTCCTTACAAACTGGGGGACTGGGGAGATTGGGCCCACCTTGGCCGAAAGGGCATTCAAGGTTAGTGAGTAGTATATTATGACTGTAAAGCCCTATCAACTTTGTAAACAAGCAAATCTACGAGCTAATTTGCCGAGTGTAATGTCTTCCTCGCTCACACGATTCAACAATATGACGTATAGGTTATCGATGATGACGAAGACGGCCTGATTACCTTCCGCGAGTTTGCGCGAGGCCTGGGCATCATTTGCAAGGGTGAACTCCAAGATCGCATGCAGTTTATGTATCGGATGCACGTGCCTCCAGCCCTGTGTGACGAGGCGGCAGAAGAGCTCAGTGATGAGGAGTCCGTAGACAGCTGCGTGGAGCTGACAGAGAGTGGAAGCATAGAGGTCTCGGCGTCACAGGCACGTGATCAGGGGCAGTCACGTGATCAGGTAGCCGTGTGCATATCACCAAGAACTAACGAAGGAGAGACGACGAGAACGGATGAAGACAATGTTAAGAGGGTTACGGCCTCGGAGATTCCGCCCATGAGTCAGGTAATGCTAAACCACTAATGCAAACCTAACCTGCTGAAATAACCTTGCAGGCGACCTTTTTATTGATTTACTTGCTTTAATCACACCTGAAAAAGAAGAAAGCTGTGCAAATCAATTTAGGACGATTACATACTTCCCTTCTCAGATATTCACTCACTAGCCAGAGTTGATTTGTTTGCCATAAAAGTGCGTCCTTTTGAAGTATAATTTCATTTGTAGGGACATTTTATTCAGTTGTGGAAGACAATGTACTCGCTGTTCCGGGAACTGCCAAATGAACAGGAGATGTACCAAGCCATCGCCTCAGTAGGAAACATGCTTCTAAAGCTGGGTGAATTCGGAGGAGAGTTGGACACTAATGTAGAAATTACGACTGGTCAGCAGTCAAAGGGCGTCGACTTGGACCAGTTCATGGACCCACTTCATGTAGCTGAACTTGAGTCGTCTTCGGCTAGTACTGTAGATTTGTTAACTGGGCCCAGTGAGGTAACCGTCACGTCTGAGCTTGAATCGTCGACGCTAATGAAGGAAGCACTGATGGACGCTGCGAGGAGCAGTGAATCTTCTCTCAGTAGTCCCGTAAGGAGCTCGACAGGAGACGATTTTGTTCTCGTGGGGAGTGATGAGGGGTTTAGCACACCAGAACCAGTGGTGTGTGAGACCAACACACAGGATACCTTAGATAAAGTTTATAATAAATTGAGTCTCGGGGATCCTCTGGTTGCCGCTGAAAGTAAAACCGTCGATCAAAAGGATTACAATTCACGCTTACTAGTTGTCAAACAAGGCCAACAACCTTCAGAAGGTCTTAACAAACGCAACAGCCAATCAAACGAAGGCCCTTCATCCGGGACATTCCATACAACCCAATCGCACGTTAGACATTCATCCGGGTCATCAGATATTGACCAATCAAATGACAGACTTCCATCGAGGGCGTTAGATACCGACCAATCAAACGAAAGACCTTCATCTGGTGCTCTAGACCTTGATTGGTCAATTTGTTTTGAACAGTTTCTGGCGTCCATGTCAACTGAACCTTACCTGGTTCACTACTTCGACGAGACTGTTGACGTCATTCAGCGTCTGAAGAAAATGAAAACAGAAGGCATTGGAAGCTTCAGAAATGCGTCAAGGACAAATTTGAATTCTGCCGAGTAGATAGCCTTGTAAAGTGCACCAGCAATGATATTGATAAATGTACAGTTTGTCTTAAGATATTGAAGTGAATTGCTGAACGTTAACTCAGATTCTTCCAACTAGTGCTATGTGAAATGTACTAAGACCTTCAACGAGAATCATTGTGTTGACATCTTGGCTTTAAGGGTAAAATAGCATGCATTCAGTGCCTGGTTGTTGAAAAAGTGGACAGCCATATCCAGAGGCGCCATGCACCTCTCAGAGGGCTTAACAGGACTGGCTGGGAAAACAATAGACCTAACAACGAACACAATGAAACAGGAAGCGAATGAAACAATAGGCTCTGATGAGGTGTGTGGCTTCTGCATATCCAGAGGTAAATTAGATAAAATTATTTTGTTCATTTTATTGTACAGTTAATTTTTTTTCTCGACAAGGATTTGTCATCTGCGTAAACCTATCTGCACGTTGAGACAGGTCAAATGTGTAGAAACTAGCTTGTTTTTATGGGTAGCATGTTAGGGCATGGGTAGCGGGGCTCAAATCATATTTGTTTTCATTCGCGGGTTAAGTAAATGTTATTAGACTCGATTACCAGCTGCTTTTCGGGTAAAGGAGCCCTCGCTTCTGGAACCGGTCTCGAGAGAGCAGCGGAAATCTAGTTTATATAAGCGGCTGGTTTCCGGAAGTCGTTCCATCTCAGCCCAGTGCTCGGGCGTTCTCTTCAGGTACTATCCAGTGACGACTATAGATTCCAGTCTCTCTTCAGCCGAGAACGCCTGGAACCTGGGACCAAAGAGTTGAAATGACCATAACGAAACAAATAAGGTAACTTTTCAGAAATGTTATACGTTCTTTCTTAAGACAGATTTCGAACGTAGAACTTATACTTTGTTTTACGTTCAAAAAATTTCCTTGAACTTCTTAAGTACTCAAAGTGAAGATGGAACGTG